AGTACTATTAGCACCAACTCGCATAACATTACAACATAAACTCGATAGAGTAAATAAATACATATCATCATTACATTTATTGATTAACACCTCAAAAACAAAAATAATTATTTTCAGGAAAAATATTAATTATCTAATCAAGAAAAAAACTTTTATCTAGACAGCAAACCTCTAGAAATTATCAGAAACATAAAATACCTGGAAATTACCTTTAGCTGGAATGGAGCTTTTCAACACCATTTTAAAGTACTTAATGCAAAAATTAACTTGCTTATCGACAATACTATATATTTATGATCAGCGTTAAAAATATCTGATTTAAAACTTCACACAAAAATTTTCAACGCTATAATTCTTTCTTCCACTTTTTATGCCAGCTCAGTATGGGCTCTTGATTTTTTTTTTTACAAATTTGAAAAATTTCATATTAATTATCTACATAAATTATTCAAGCTTGAGAGAACTGTACCAGATTATTCTGTTAGAGCAGAAACAAATAGAATTCAACTATTTCCTTGGTTTTTAAAAAGACTAATAAGATTTTATTACCAACTTATAAATACAGATGATGAGAATATAAAATTTTTACACCAAAATATGTATCAATCTAATGTTCTAAATTCCACCAAAGATACTTGTCAATACAAATTCAATAATATACTTCAAACATATGGAATCTCAAGTGTTTTATTAGATAAATCTGACATAAATTGGAATAACACCTATACACTACTGATGGAATCCGCCATATCGCAATCAATAACTCAGGATCAAAACTCAATATTGAAACTTATCACCCCTGGTATTCTCAAATTTTAAAAATTCCTTCTGATTCCAGATTTATTATAACTGATATAAATATGAATATTAAACGATTATTCTTACAACTTCGTCTAAATAAATATTCTTTGTTGGTTAATAATACATATATAAACTGTTCTAAACAAAAGTGCTATTGGTGTAAATCAGAAAACTTTTCTATTCTTCATCTGTTGAAAGACTGCACAGCTATTAAAAAATATTGTCAGAAATATCAAATAACAGAAATACTTGGCATAACAACAATTTAAATTATATGGAATTGGAAATTTATTAAAAAATGATATGTATAAACTAAATAACTTTTTCATCCAGATTACTAATATATATAATAATGATGTTATGAATTAGTATTTAGATAATGTTATGCAACTACAACTTTTTTATTTATATTTTTTCTATCTCTGTTAAAATTATTTGTTACAAAAAAAACAACATAACATGTAAAACAAACTACTATGATTTTTTTCATGTTTAAAATAACCCCCCTGTAACAAGGATTTTTTTCCTTAGTACAATAAAGCTTTGATTGATTGATAATTATCAATGAATTCAAGTTACTATATATAGAATAATAATATATTGTAGTTTGGATCCCACTACAGACCCATATCCTGGCTTCTTCCTTCTTGTTGACTGTTAATATGATCTAAGCAGCAGCGATAGCATATTTTAAATGCTGGTTCTCATTACTAATTAATACTTGGATGAATAACTATCTAGAAAAAGTTTGAGTTCTGCTGTCAATTATTAGTTAATGTAAAAGAGGATTTATATTGAAACTAATGAAGCTTATGCTTCAGGCCCCAAATCCAAGGACCCCAGAGCCAAAATTTTAATTTATTTTTAATTTGTAGTAGTAGTAGTATGTTAAAAATATACATTTATGGATAGCTGAATACCTTCCTAAACAGAGACAAAAGAAGCTAAGAAGCTACATACAAGTGTATATTGTATGTAGCTTCTTAGCCTCTATATTCATGTAAGTATAAGTCTGGATTGTTTCTGGATTGTTCCCTTCTCTAAATCATTCATTGTCATCATATCAGCATTGAATAAGAAGTCTGTGGAACATTTTTAACATTTTCATTGAATTCAAGTCCATTTGAATTCTAGCAATCTTTCAGACCAAAAGAAGGTTCCATCCACTACTAAAAGATGTATCACATAATGAATGTATCAAACAATTTTGATATGTTGAACCATCGATGGTGTTCTGGAACACATGATAAGAATAAATGGTGGTTTCAAAAAATAATTTTTGGTCTTTTGTGACTAAAATAAATCATCATCTGGCAAATTCTACAAACAAATCTTTTTTAGAAGTAATTCGTCACCAGAGGGATAAGACCAAAATCTACATTTAACAGCACATTTATCAAGTAGATATAAAGGACTGAAATTCCCTAACTGGAAAGGATGCAAGTTCAAGACGTCTATAAGGCCGCCAGTTCCAATTCTTTACTTTTAAGGTTTCAAATGGATATTTTTGTGTTTTTTTTAAAGGAATGTTTTAGCCTGATGACCTAGTAGCATACGAAGAAAGGTCCAGTCGTCGATGGTGTTCTGGAACACATGATAAGAATAAATGGTGGTTTCAAAAAATAACTTTTGGACAGACTGTGTCTTTTGTGATTAAAATAAATTATCATCTGGCAAATTCTACAAACAATTTTGATATATCATCAACCATCCATTTTTCAGCCAGTTTCTTTACATTTACTCTAATTAAAGCATATTCATTTTATTTATTTAAACGTAGTTATTTGAAGTCTAGAACTTCATGGCTAAACATTTTTAAAGATAAGTATGCTTACTACATGGCACACAGACTCAAAAAGGTTTGCCATCCTTGTTCTAGACTTAAGAATTTAATTGTTATTTTCTCATGCTCAGTATTTGACAATATTTACCTGTCTCTCTACACTATATTATTCTACACTCTGCAGTACTTCAACATGTCTCCAATACTTTTCAACCCAAAGTTTATTTTCAACAGCATTTATGGCTTAGTCAAGGAAATACAGTATATACCAGTCATAGTAGGTATTAAATTCATTTTATTGGTAATGTGAATTGTATTGGTTTCATTAGTTATATTTATAAGGATATTCAAAAATCAGTATGTGTTAATAAACAAAAAGTTACTTTAATGGTGTTGATTGGCTATGCACAAGACTAATATTTTAGAAAAAGCTTTATAAAATGTAAAAATTTATCAAAAAATTACTTTAAAAAATTAAGAAAGTAAAAAAAAACAATTGATATTTCATGCCAGATTCTTACCAGAACAAGAGTTTACATGTATTGTCTATTAGTGTTAATAAGGTCAATATTTTTTGATTTTAGTTTGATTGTTAATTAAATGTATAATTTTAATAGCGTACTATTTAAACTTAACATTCTGATTAAAACAAATTAACATTAAACATTTAAAGCAGGGGTCACCAAAGTGGTTCATATAACATTTGGGGGGGTTGATTATCAAGCTTAAGCTAAGGATAAGGGGGAGCTAAGCATCAAGCTTATCTGTCTCACTAATTGTCAGTTACAAAAATTAACAAATATACAATAAAGAAGAAAAAAAAAAAAAAACCAAAATTAAAAGAAATGTATTAAAATAGTAAGTACTTTGTTTTGCTTGTAACACGAACTTTTTGGTGGAGGTTGATGTGAGGTTTCAAAAACTTGTAGGGTCGACGACCAAAAAAGTTTAGCGACTCTTGATTTAAAGTAACACATGTACTCCAATTAGAACATATTAACATTAATGTTAAAATTTATATCAATGTTCTAAAATTTGTTTTCATTTTGCCTGAAGAAAATATTCTATACATGTCAAAAGTGCTTGCAAGAAATTTTGTATTAATTTTGTGTTTTACTGATCAAAACCTGATTAACATCAACAAACAGTGCTTGTAAACTCTTATTCTATATAATTCTAATAAGAAAGTAAATTTTTAAAGGTAAAAATGGGACCATACTGTAAAGGAACAGGATGTGTCATCATCATCATTTGAAAAGATGATAATGATGACACACAGTTGTTTGAAACAAAAATGACACAAATCATTTTTGTCTCAAACAGCTATAAATACAAAAGTAATTAGAAAAGTATTTAATAAATATATAACTACCACCAAAATATATGCAGATTACAATAAACTTTTAAATCAAAATGTGTTGTTAAGTACTTGAAATCACTAATTAAACCTTCAAAGCAAGACACAAATAATGGCAGCACTTTGGATTTGTTTGAGTGCAACATTTCAGTTGTTTGACTGACAAATTATAGATTATGTGTCATATACGAAACTCTGATTCTGATTGGCTATGTGACATCCTTTGATGCTTATTCTTTTCTATACATACAAAAAGATTACTAATTTGGTGAAACTGCACTTCCTATGAATTAAATACCCATTATTTATTTTTGTTGTGCGCTAATTAAAAAATATTACAAAGATTTTAAAAATTATCATAAAACATCCTTCAAAAAGTTAATTTCTGTTCATTTTTCAATTAAAAATTATCATAAAACATCCTTCAAAAAGTTAATTTCTGTTCATTTTTCAATTAAAAATGGCAGACAGTATTATACACTTTAAAAAAAATATACTTAAAAAAATACTAATATGTCTTCACATATCCATCTTGTCACATATTATTGTACTTAATCACCAATAAACATTTTTAATTGCATTTGCATAATTTTAGAGGTGTAGCCTCTAATAAAAGGTTGACTATGAAGCAAGACTGGTTCCTGGTGATTGGATAAGATATTTGAACATGTTTTAGTATTCTTCTATGTATATTTATTAGAAATTGGTTCATTTCTATTTCATATTAAAACTTAAAAGCTGAAGATTTAACAATCTTCAGTTTAACAATTTATTCTATGTATGTCTTTATTTAATTTAATTAATCAAATTTTATATAAAAGACAAATGTTCACATAATGAATGTTTACATTCCCTTCTTCAAAAACAGTTAATCAGAGATTTTCTTAAGTATCTACTTGAAAATTTCAAATATAATAAAGTTTTAATAAAAAATGTACAAATTTGTGAAAAATTTTACTACAGTTTACAATTTCAAATCTGATTTCAAAATGAAATGTGAAACTTACAATGATAAATATTTCCATTATTTAACAAATGTTAATTTTTGTTCAAACATACCTGTGAAATTCTACGGTAAATCTGTGATATAACTGATGGCTTTGGCCTTAATGAATCTTCTGCATCCATTAGTGCAAATAACTTTAATTTCAAGTGATCTGAAAAAAAATTTCTTTAAGTTTACAAATGTTCATTTATACATAAAATTACTCATAATATAAATCAATTTATTATAAATTGAAAATAAACAAACAATACAGTCAAATTCCATTTATACACATTTCAAGGAAACTGAAAAGATTGTATAAGTGAGAAAAACATACATGTGAAACTGCAAGTATTTTTGCATTGCTTTCATAGAGTAAATATGATTATCACAAAAGTACAGTATGACACAAATTAACTAAACTGAATTTGTATGTTTAACTTTTAAGAAAAAAGTTTCTATTTAGTATATGTATTTGAACAACAAATAAAACATCTAGCCCTTCCCTTGTTAGCAGTAGGAATCATTTTTGAATAATTTTTTAACGAGTTTTTGCAAATAACACATTCAATCACAATATTTAAACAGTATTTCACAGGTTCTGTTACGCAAAATTTTTGTTTTAGTCTACTGAAAAAAGATCAAAGTGAGAAGTCATCCCAAAAAATTCTCCCAATTTTCAGTCAGTCAATTAAAAAACTTCAAATCAACATTGCCACAATGAAATTTCAAAATGTACTGAAGTGCCTTCAAAAAATGTACTATTTCTATGGTTGGTTACTTTTAATATTAATATACCATCATACTCAATTTTTGTGCTTATTTCAAATTCATATTCATGAATACTTTGTTAAATATGAANTTTTTAATTACATTTATAATAAAAGATAAATAAATCAAGATTTTATTTTTTTTAAATATGTTTGTTTATTGTTTCAAATATTTGTTTTACTTTCAGATCTAATTTCAGTTGTTTTAAATGTAATTCAATTTAGGTTGATAAATCAAAAACTAAGCAGTGTTATTTGTTTAGTCTATATAAAGACTTCCTTCTACAATCTGGTTCAGTCCTACTAAACGAAGATATGAAGATCTGATATTGACAGTGCTAAGAAGAGTATGAAGGGTGATGGCATTATCAGGTGTTCTATCCACTTTCTCCTCTCAAAAATGTTTGACTATTTGAAATCAAAAATTAATTTTAAAAAATTTAATTTTGTATGCTACATATAATTTATACTTTTTAAGGCAATAAAGGAGATCTTTAAGGAGTAAACTTCTCATAATAAGAGTCCCTAAGCTGTAGTTTCTTTCCTTGGTTTATGTTTATTATCTATCAAGTAACTAAAATGATTTTTGTAAAAATCATTATTCAATAATTAAAAATAAATAATATTTTAGTAAACAACACTTAAAGTTAATTAACATTTATAATCAATTTACTATTAATATTACATATGAGTTTCAATATTAAATAAAATTCTAGAAAATTTATCATCAATTTTGTTGGAAACATAGTAAAACCGATGGTGTGGACAACAGACATTTTTGTTCATAAAAACAACACACAGGTCTTGGTCACTAGAGAGAAAAATTTATTCTGACAGCAAAGGTATTTGCAAAAAGGAAAAATTAATAATAAAACAATTTACTTAAATTATATATAAACAGTTTTCCAGGAACACAAGAAATTATTGGTGGCCATAAAAAAATAACTGAGATTGAAACATATCTAACAATTTATCATCTTATATTTTGACTTTTAATTAGATAATATCTATTATCAAATTATTTAACAAGTATTTTACTATACTTGTAGAATAATTATCAAAGAATTGATTGCTCTTCTTCTTGTATTAAGGAAATGTTTCACATCTATTTTAGTAAACCATTTCCAGCGATGAACCCAAGAAATGAATCTTAACTCTGAATTTCAATACACTTTCACCAAATCCAGGAGCACAGAATTTGCTATTTTCTTGCTATCCTCAATTATTCAAATATATTTACAAAAAAAAAAAAAAAGGAAAATTTATGCTGTCTTCATTGATATCACCAAAGCTTTTGACTGTTCATGTTCTGACTCTGGTTAATAAATTAAAACAATATGGTGCAGGTAAGTTTTTCAAATTTGATTATGCATCTTTTTTTTTTCTTATAAACTACATATTGTAAATAGCAACTTACTTAGTCCAGAAATAATTACAGAATGTGGAATACTTCAAGGTGAACCTTTTTCTCCATACCTTTTCAACTTCTACATCAGTGTTTTTCAACCAGGGTGCCACAGTGCCACAATTGGGGTGTCGCAAAGTTTAGAGCCTTTAGGCATTTTCTTGGAAATTTACTTAAATGTAGTTCAAGATAACTCATTGTTAGTTCTATTTTGCTACGAGATATCTAGTAAGCAAAGAAACTATGACTAATCGCATGTTAATGTAATGTTCTACGCTACGTGTACGCACGACTTGTCACGAGTTCGCCCAAACCACATTGCTTGGCCTTCATGTTCCCAGTCCCAGTACCAGGCCAACCACCAGAGAAGAACGATGTGGACACTTATGTCCACGTCGTTCTTCTTGTGTCTTGTATATACTTTAAAAAGCGTTGCATTGTACTTTGAAAAGCGTGTGGTTTCAATCACAAAGTAGGTGCATATTACAGTATTTTCATAGTATTCAAAAGCAATGATGACAAATAAACAATTGTTATCATTTTTTTAATTTAAATTTTTAAAATTGATATGAAAAGGATAAGAAATAAGTAAGGAAATATTTATTTTATATATGCATTAAAATAGTATAAAAAACTTAAGAAAAATTGTTTATCAATAAAATGATAATATAAAATGATGATATATTTGATAATAAAGCTATATTTAAAAAACAATAGCGAGACTATTATTTTACATGTAGGTATTTCGATAAAATTCAATGAACTTAAATTTTGATTTTGAACATGTAGAAACACTTTTGCGTTGCGCGTAATATTCGTTTTCGCAAAAAATTCATCTGGCCCATTAGTCCCCCTCCTTATTCAGATTCTAGATCCGCTGCTGGTCAAGGGTGTCATGATTTGTTATTTTTCAATTAGGTGTGCCACTCAATGAAAAAGGTTGAAAAACACTGTTCTACATAAATGACATAAACAACTTATTTGATAAGGATAATGAAGGAATATATATCAATGGTCGTATTTTTCACTATATTCTATATGCAGATGATTTAGTACTATTAGCACCAACTCGCATAACATTACAACATAAACTCGATAGAGTAAATAAATACATATCATCATTACATTTATTGATTAACACCTCAAAAACAAAAATAATTATTTTCAGGAAAAATATTAATTATCTAATCAAGAAAAAAACTTTTATCTAGACAGCAAACCTCTAGAAATTATCAGAAACATAAAATACCTGGAAATTACCTTTAGCTGGAATGGAGCTTTTCAACACCATTTTAAAGTACTTAATGCAAAAATTAACTTGCTTATCGACAATACTATATATTTATGATCAGCGTTAAAAATATCTGATTTAAAACTTCACACAAAAATTTTCAACGCTATAATTCTTTCTTCCACTTTTTATGCCAGCTCAGTATGGGCTCTTGATTTTTTTTTTTACAAATTTGAAAAATTTCATATTAATTATCTACATAAATTATTCAAGCTTGAGAGAACTGTACCAGATTATTCTGTTAGAGCAGAAACAAATAGAATTCAACTATTTCCTTGGTTTTTAAAAAGACTAATAAGATTTTATTACCAACTTATAAATACAGATGATGAGAATATAAAATTTTTACACCAAAATATGTATCAATCTAATGTTCTAAATTCCACCAAAGATACTTGTCAATACAAATTCAATAATATACTTCAAACATATGGAATCTCAAGTGTTTTATTAGATAAATCTGACATAAATTGGAATAACACCTATACACTACTGATGGAATCCGCCATATCGCAATCAATAACTCAGGATCAAAACTCAATATTGAAACTTATCACCCCTGGTATTCTCAAATTTTAAAAATTCCTTCTGATTCCAGATTTATTATAACTGATATAAATATGAATATTAAACGATTATTCTTACAACTTTGTCTAAATAAACATTCCTTGTTGGTTAATAATACATATATAAACTGTTCTAAACAAAAGTGTTATTGGTGTAAATCGGAAAACTTTTCTATTCTTCATCTGTTGAAAGACTGCACAGCTATTAAAAAATATCGTCAGAAATATCAAATAACAGAAATACTTGGCATGAACCACGATTTAAATTATATGTTAAAAACTGGAAATTTATTAAAAAATGATATGTATAAACTAAATAACTTTTTCATCCAGATTACTAATATATTTAGTAATGATGTTATGAATTAATATTTAGATAATGTTATGCAACTATAACTTTTTTATGTATATTTTTTCTATCTCTTAAAATTTATTATTAAAAAAAAAAAAAACATAACATGTAAAACAAACTACTATGATTTTTTTCATGTTTAAAATAACCCCCCTGTAACAAGGATTTTTTTCCTTAGTACAATAAAGCTTTGATTGATTGATAATTATCAATGAATTCAAGTTACTATATATAGAATAATAATATATTGTAGTTTGGATCCCACTACAGACCCATATCCTGGCTTCTTCCTTCTTGTTGACTGTTAATATGATCTAAGCAGCAGCGATAGCATATTTTAAATGCTGGTTCTCATTACTAATTAATACTTGGATGAATAACTATCTAGAAAAAGTTTGAGTTCTGCTGTCAATTATTAGTTAATGTAAAAGAGGATTTATATTGAAACTAATGAAGCTTATGCTTCAGGCCCCAAATCCAAGGACCCCAGAGCCAAAATTTTAATTTATTTTTAATTTGTAGTAGTAGTAGTATGTTAAAAATATACATTTATGGATAGCTGAATACCTTCCTAAACAGAGACAAAAGAAGCTAAGAAGCTACATACAAGTGTATATTGTATGTAGCTTCTTAGCCTCTATATTCATGTAAGTATAAGTCTGGATTGTTTCTGGATTGTTCCCTTCTCTAAATCATTCATTGTCATCATATCAGCATTGAATAAGAAGTCTGTGGAACATTTTTAACATTTTCATTGAATTCAAGTCCATTTGAATTCTAGCAATCTTTCAG